GATCAGGCAAGCACCAGATAAGCCTGGCGCATGGCCGGGCTCACAAAGTAGAATCTCTCGAAACTCATCAAAGGTATATATCAGAGGTAAAGGGAGGTGGGTAGGTGGTGTTGCTAAGGTAGGGAGGTGGAGTAGGTGTTGTCGGTAGGGGATGGAGGTGGGTAGGTGGTGGTGGTAAGGCAGGGAGGTGGTTAGGTGGTATTAGTAAGAAAGGGAGGTGGAGTAGGTGTTGTTGATAAGGCACCGAGGTGGAGTAGGTGTTGTTGGTAAGGCACTGAGGTGGAGGTTGTGATGTTGCTAAGGTAGGGACGTGGGTAAGTGTTGTTGGTAATGCAGGTAGGTGGTGGTGGTGAGGCAGGGAGGTTGGTAGGTGTTGCTGTTAATGGTCTCAAAGATATTTACGCATTGGCGATTTCGTCCACTTTGAGCCCTATTTTTGGCCATTTCCAATGTTGCAGTTGACTAAAATCATAGCTATTTCCCTAGAACTCCATTTTTTCTATCGATTGAGTACAAGAATCCGCCCATTTACCTTTTCCAATTACCCAATAAAGTGGTCAGAAATTGGCAATTTGGGCAATTTCACACAAATTTCAATAGATGCCAATTTTGAAATAGGGTTCAGAATAAACAAGACAGACATTCATGGCACTAAAATAACATTTTATCTGTTCATTACTGGTTTGGTAATAGAGTTGTGGATGAGTGGAACAAACTCCCAAGTACCGTTATAGAGGCCAGAACGTTGTGTAGCTTTAAAAATAGGTTGGATAAATACATGAGTAGATGTGGGTGGGTGTGAGTTGGACCTGATAGCTTGTGCTAACAGGTCGGTTGCCGTGTTCCTCCCTTAAGTCAATGTGACCTGACCTGACTAGGTTGGGTGCATTGGCTTAAGCCGGTAGGGACTTGGACCTGCCTCGCATGGGCCAGTAGGCCTTCTGCAGTGTTCCTTCGTTCTTATGTTCTTATGTTCATTAGTCACGTCTCTAGGCCCCTCTTACATTACTTTTGCTTTCCATTTTGAATTTTTATTCTCACAGAAAATAGAAAGTTTTCTGTTATGTATACTACTGCATCATTGTAAAAATGGTATAAATTGTGTCAGCGCACTTGTTAAAGAATATTATACTCGCCAGTTGATGTGTACTGGACACGTGACTTGATTTGTTTACTCTTGAACATCGGCAAAAATCGATCATTTTTGCTACTTTGAGCTCAATTTCAAGGTACGTACTTGTCATCGCGAAATCAATCAAAATCATCTCTATTTCTATAAGATATCTTCCATTCTATCAAATGAGACCAAGGAAATGGGAATACAACCATAAGTACCATACAAAATTACACTAGAAATTAGCTGTTTTAAACCAAAACCACGGCGGAGTTTTTTTTCTTATTATGCACAGCATGCCTCAGGATTTTTTTTATACTGCGCACACTGACCACACAGACCCATTCTTTCATATGTAGGCCTGCCAGCTTTCTTCCACCAGATCTGAAGGCGCTAGAATTTAGGCGTACAAGTACGTGACCGACCCTGGCTGTAATGACGCATTTGTACGTGACCAACCCTCAAAGGGTTAATGGCATTTCAATTAATTTCAACGAGGAAAATTGATTTGATATACATACGAGCAAACCGAGTTGCCAGCTCGGTCATGGAATGAATTAAACTCACAAGTCAAGGTACCACAGTATACAGTAGAGTATATGGGAAGTTGGGTGGCAGAAAAGATTGAGTGCCACCACAGCCAAAACACAGGCTAGTGAACAAATCTATTTCTTAATATTTTGTTTATTTGTGGAAATGTGTAGATACTGTGTCCTGCCTCAGTAAGTTCAGCTCAGAGCCCCATAACCCAAGTATGATAACTTGAGCTTCATAGCTCCATTCTCCCGAGCATCCAATGTTTTTCTTCACCGTTTGAAATTGGTGCTTCGTCTTTTGTCAAGCAACATCTCACATAGTAATGATATAAATACAGTAAAACCTACAATTAAAGAACCTCCCTTTTACAGATTTTTGTTTACTACAGGCAAAAAAATATTAATCATCGAACAAAAAAAAAAAAAAAAAAAAAAAAAAGTCCAGGGTTCCAAATTTTGTCCATTACAATAATGTCTGGCTGTCTTCTAAAGCATCAGACCAAATCTGGTATCTCCAACACACATCCAGTAAGAGCCAGATTGGCCACATCCAGAAACTGTCTGTTTTCATTATTCCCTGAGCCACAAGCCATTCAGCCACCTCTTGCCTTACCAACAACACCCACCCACCTCCTGCCTTAACTTTGTGAGAGCATAATTCCGTAAGCTTTCCATCAAATTTCATACTTCTGGTGTCATGATTGGAAAAAGATTCTCTATCATTTCATAAGAAAAAATAATTTTTTTTCAAAAGTTCTTCGAGCCTGAGAATGAGCTTGGGAGAGGGCCTCTTGACCCTCTAATGGTTAATCTGTTCCAGCCCCCTAAAATCCACCCCAATTTTTTTGTTACGGGTTTTTAAATAAGACATGTATTTATAAATAAAAAATATTGTATAAAAACATAATAAAACATAAAAGAAAATGTAAAGAAAAGCTGGTTTTATAAAGTATATTTACCTCAGAGATCAGATGACTTGGGCTAATGGAAGACACTGGCAAAGGTGGAGGGTTAAACTACAAGTTAACTACATGCAACTGGCAAAGGTGGAGGGTTAAACTACAAGTTAACTACATGCACACCTTGGTCATGTTTTTCTGTGATTTCATGCTTTAATTCAATGGGCATCATCCTCCTCCTCTTCCCAGCACTGTTCTTTGCACTTACTTTTTTGGAATCATGATTAGGAAAAACAAATTTGGCAAATTAACTGCATAAAAAGCAAACACAACACAACACTAAGGTATTTGAAGAGGTAGATCATGGTAATGAATATGATATTGTGTATATGGACTTCAGTAAGGCTTTTGACAGGGTCCCACATCAGAGACTATTGAGGAAAATTAAGGCACATGGAATAGGAGGAGAAATTTTTTCCTGGATAGAGGCATGGTTGACAAATAGGCAGCAGAGAGTTTGCATAAATGGGGAGAAATCAGAGTGGGGAAGCGTCACGAGCGGTGTTCCTCAGGGGTCAGTGTTGGGCCCCCTGCTGTTCACAATCTACATAAACGACATAGATGAGGGCATAAAGAGCGACATCGGCAAGTTTGCCGATGACACCAAAATAGGCCGTCGAATTCATTTTGACGAGGACATTCGAGCACTCCAGGAAGATTTGAATAGACTGATGCAGTGGTCGGAGAAGTGGCAGATGCAGTTTAATATAGACAAATGCAAAGTTCTAAATGTTGGACAGGACAATAACCATGCAACATATAAACTAAATAATGTAGATCTTAATATTATGGATTGCAAAAAAGATTTAGGAGTTCTGGTTAGCAGTAATCTGAAACCAAGACAACAGTGCATAAGTGTTCGCAATAAAGCTAATAGAATCCTTGGCTTCATATCGAGAAGCATAAATAATAGGAGTCCTCAGGTTGTTCTTCAACTCTATACATCCTTGGTTAGGCCTCATTTAGATTATGCTGCACAGTTTTGGTCACCATATTACAGAATGGATATAAATTCTCTGGAAAATGTACAAAGGAGGATGACGAAGTTGATCCCATGTATCAGAAACCTTCCCTATGAGGATAGACTAAGGGCCCTGAATCTGCACTCTCTAGAAAGACGTAGAATTAGGGGGGATATGATTGAGGTGTATAAATGGAAGACAGGAATAAATAAAGGGGATGTAAATAGTGTGCTGAAAATATCTAGCCTAGACAGGACTCGCAGCAATGGTTTTAAGTTGGAAAAATTCAGATTCAGGAAGGATATAGGAAAGTACTGGTTTGGTAATAGAGTTGTGGATGAGTGGAACAAACTCCCAAGTACAGTGATAGAGGCCAGAACGTTGTGTAGCTTTAAATATAGGTTGGATAAATACATGAGTGTATGTGAGTGGGTGTGAGTTGGACCTGATAGCTTGTGCTACCAGGTCGGTTGCCGTGTTCCTCCCTTAAGTCAATGTGACCTGACCTGACTAGGTTGGGTGCATTGGCTTGAGCCGGTAGGAGACTTGGACCTGCCTCGCATGGGCCAGTAGGCCTGCTGCAGTGTTCCTTCGTTCTTATGTTCTTACGTTCCACGGCGAGGTAACCACGTGCACTTTGCTGCGCCAACTAGTGGTGGCATATCTGAAGCTCGCTCACAACTTGGATTTTGGCTCGCAACTCCAATCAAAATATCAACCAAGCGACAGCTCGTAACTCGGGAAACTCGTAAGTTGGGGCACTCGTAAGTCAAGGTACCACTGTATTTGTTATTGGCATTAACTATATTTTTTCATGGTCAATTATAAATGCTGTACACTACTACTATGTCTATATCTACAGTATATTTTCACAATATAAACTTAATAATTTATGAAATCATTGTGTCAGGATTGTAAACTCCCTGAATGGAGTATTTGTACCCATGACAATCCAGCCCTTGAACTAGCAGGCCGGTGTGCTATCCACTTTACTTATCCACTGTGAATGTACCATTAACAATGTGTAGCTATAAAAGGGTATTACTGTCCTGCCATATGAATGTGAAACAGGAACCTATTAAATATTTTGCTCTTAGGGAAGATTGCTGGTCTTTTCTTAATGTATAAAGATGTAAAATGCCAGGTAAATTTTACAAACTGCTAGTTTTGTTCAGTAGTTTTATAGACATGCATTTATATCCTCCCTGGGATGTGACCCAGTTGACTAAGACACAGGAACCTACTACCTGCTGAGTGAACAGGGTTCACTCAGCAGGTGTTTTCTTAATGGTGTGTTCTTTACTTGTTCTTATTTGTGATATTTCCTTTCCAGTTGTGGAATCCTTGTCAAATACTAAGCTTTTGGGAGGATATGATAATCCCAAAATCCTTTAATACACACTATAACTAGAGGTCTTGAATTTTTCAGCAAAGGACTTTAGGGGAACATTTGTCATACCTCCTCCCTCCTGCACTGTTTATTCTGGATGATTGGGAGCAGCAAAACAAAATACTTGGAATTCGTTGCCTATTTTACATATTAAAAACTATGGTAAGCATATTTTGATTTTAATTTGTAATTTATGGATAAGTATTTCAGGTAGAAATATCCTTCAATTTTGAGTTTTTCTTTTTGTTAAACTACTGGGCAAAAACATGTTGTAATGACAATAAACTTGATATTAACATTTCTTGAGACTGTCTAGTAGGGTGACATAGCAAAAAATAGGTTTGATAAATACATGAGTGGGTGTGCGTGGGTCTGAGTTGGACCTGACTAGCTTGTGCTACTAGGTCAGATGCTGTGCTCTTCCCTTAAGTGAATGTGACTGACCTGGCTAGGTCAAGGCATTGGCTTAAGCTGGTGGGAGAACTGGACCTGCCTCGCATGGGCCAGTAGGCCTGCTGCAGTGTTCCTTCTTTCTGATGTTCTTATGCTCTTAAACCTATTGTAAATTTTTTGATAAATGCCAATTTTGGCACACAAGTAGACTCATATACAGTGGACCCCCGCATAACGATGGCATCGCATAGCGATTTTTCCGCATAACGATTACTTTTATCGCAAAATTTTTGCCCCGCATACCGATTAAAAACCCGCATACCGATTTTCGTCCGAGACACGTCCAATGTGCCCTCAGCCAGCCTCACATGTGCCGCTCCGTCCCATTGTTTACCAGCCAGCCTCCGCGGTAACATCCAAGCATACACTCGGAATATTTCGTATTATTACAGTATTTTCGGTGCTGTTTCTGGAAAATAAGTGACCATGGGCCCCAAGAAAGCTTCTAGTGCCAACCCTACACCTCAAAGGGTAAGAATTACTATAGAGATGAAGAAAGAGATAATTGATAAGTATGAAAGTGGAGTGCGTATAGCCGACCTAGTCAAGCTGTACAAGAAACCCCAATCAACCATCGCTACTATTGTGGGCACCAGAAAGACAATCAAGGAAGCTGTTCTTGCCAAAGGTTCAACTGTGTTTTCGAAACAAAGATCGCAATTGATGGAAGATGTTGAGAGACTCTTATTGGTGTGGATAAATGAAAAACAGATAGCAGGAGATAGCGTCTCTCAAGCGATCATATGTGAAAAGGCTAGGAAGTTGCATGACGATTTAATTAAAAAAATGCCTGCAACTAGTGATGATGTGAGTGAATTTAAGGCCAGCAAAGGTTGGTTTGAGAGATTTAAGAAGCGTAGTGGCATCCATAGTGTGATAAGGCATGGTGAGGCTGCCAGTTCGGACCACAAAGCGGCTGAAAAATATGTGCAGGAATTCAAGGAGTACATAGAAACTGAAGACTGAAACCTGAACAAGTGTTTAATTGTGATGAAACAGGCCTGTTCTGGAAGAAAATGCCAAGCAGGACCTACATTACTCAGGAGGAAAAGGCACTCCCAGGACATAAGCCTATGAAAGACAGGCTTACTTTGTTGATGTGTGCCAATGCTACGGGTGATTGCAAAGTGAAGCCTTTATTAGTGTATCACTCTGAAACTCCCAGAGCGTTCAGGCAAAAGAATGTCCTCAAGGATAATTTGTGTGTGCTGTGGAGGGCAAACAGTAAGGCATGGGTCACTAGGGAATTTTTCTATAACTGGTTACACCATGCATTTGCCCCCAATGTGAAAAATTACCTAACTGAAAAGAAATTAGAACTTAAGTGCCTCCTGGTGTTAGACAATGCCCCTGGTCATCCTACAGACGTGTCAGAGCAACTTTATGGGGACATGAGCTTCATTAAGGTGAAGTTTTTGCCTCCTAATACCACTCCTCTCCTGCAGCCCATGGACCAGCAGGTTATTTCCAACTTCAAGAAACTGTACACAAAAGCTCTGTTTTGAAAGGTGCTTTGTAATGACCTCAGAACTCAACTGACTCTAAGAGAGTTTTGGAGAGATCACTTTAATATCCTCAATTGTGTAAACCTTATAGGTAAGGCTTGGGAGGAAGTGACAAAGAGGACCTTGAACTCTGCTTGGAAGAAACTGTGGCCAGAATGTGTAGACAAAAGGGATTTTGAAGGGTTTGAGGTTAACCCTGAGAATCCTGTGCCAGTTGAGGAATCCATTGTGGCATTGGGAAAGTCCTTGGGGTTGGAGGTTAGTGGGAGGATGTGGAAGAGTTGGTGGAGGAGGACAATGAAGAACTAACCACTGATGAGCTGATAGATCAACTTCAAGAGCAAGAGGCCAGACCTGAGGAAACTGGTTCAGAGAAGGGGAGAGAGAAATTGAAGAAGTTGCCTACTACAAAGATAAAGGAAATCTGTGCTAAGTGGCTTGAAGTGCAAACCTTCATGGATGAAAATCACCCTCACACAGCTATTGCAAGCCGTGCTGGTGATTATTACACTGACAATGTTGTGAAACACTTAGGCAAGTCATAAAGGAACGAGAGGTACAGGCCACTATGGACAGATATCTTGTGCGAAAGAAGTCCAGTGACTCTGAAGCTGGCCCTAGTGCATTAAAAGAAGAAGGGAAGTAACCCCCGAAAAGGACTTACTACCTCAAGTCCTAATGGAAGGGGATTCCCCTTCTAAACACTAACACACTCTCTCCCCTCCTCCCATCCCATCAATCATCACCAGATCTTCAATAAAAGTAAGTGTCATTTAATTGTGCATGCCTTTTTCAGTTTGTGTGTATTAAAATTAACATTTCATGTGGTAAAAAAAATTTTTTTTCATACTTTTGGGCGTCTTGCACGGATTAATTTTATTTCCATTATTTCTTATGGGGAAAATTGATTCGCATAACGATTATTTCGCATAACGATGAGCCCTCTTGCACGGATTAAAATCGTTAACCGGGGGTCCACTGTATAGTATAACAAGCAAATTCAGGCTGAGACACTACAAATATAGCCCAGGACAGGTGTGTTAACCATTTTCCTAAATGATGCTTATGAAGCTTAATTATATTTCAGAACTGCCAACTGTGAATGACCAGAGTGATATTTGATTGGGGTTGTTGATAGTAAAATATTTGTGAGGATTGTGTAAAGTGATTTCATAAGGAGTTATTGTTGTGTGGATAGTTTTGTTAGTATATATACAGTGGACCCCCGGTTAACGATATTTTTTCGCTCCAGAAGTATGTTCAGGTGCCAGTACTGACCGAATTTGTTCCCATAAGAAATATTGTGAAGTAGATTAGTCCATTTCAGACTCCCAAACATACACATACAAACGCACTTACATAAATACACTTACATAATTGGTCGCATTCGGAGGTAATCGTTATGCGGGGGTCCACTGTATATGAAAAGAAGTCATTTATTCTTAGAAAAAATAGTTTTTATTGAAATTTTTGATGTTATCATGAATCAAACAATTTAATAGGTCTTTAGCTATTAAAAACAAATCATACATCATATATCAAACATAATTTACCTCAGAAGTAACCTATACAATTATCCTAACTCAGCATCTATGGCTGGACTCTCATTACATTTTGATGACTGAAAATCACACAAGATTCACACGAGATTGTTGGGTAGTTAAGTACATATTATTGCATTTGTAATGGGATTTATGTTGCACATTAGATAGTCTCAAAGTATTTTTGGAAGCATAGATACCAGAATTGGTCAAGAATACACTACAATCAATCAAAATTACAGAATTAGTTATTCAAGAAAACACCAATTAAATGAGTTGTCTTTTCTGATCACATTTCTGTGACCTGGAAGTTAATTGTGTGATCAATCCTCGTTGTCAGTGAGAACTGTAGCCTCTCCTCACTTAACGACGGAGTTCTGTTCCTAAGACCACATCGGTAAACAATTTTGTCACTAAGCAAGGAGCATACTATAATGGTAATGGGGTTGTCAACCATCTATGATATTGTTTTAATGTTGCCTGTGCACCATTTATAACATTTTTAGTATATTTTTAAATGTTTATACAGTAGTGTACTGTATATTGTAATAAACAGAGTAGAGGAACTCAGCTCTAATATACATTATTTAGGTATGCATACTGGTCAGAGAACCCATTGTAAACTCTGAGTTGTCAGTAAATGAGTACATCACTAAGTGAGGAGAGGCTGTATTAAAGTTCAGCCATTTTTTTTGCACTTACAGCACTTTACACAGCCCTTCTTGCATTTGCATGACTTAAGCTCATAGCAGATGTAGGCTGCTTCTGGTAAACTTGTCCAGTATGGTTAGTTCAGCACCAGTTGGTAGGAAGGAGGCAGTTCAGGTGCTGGTTTCAGTATTTGACCCCACACGTGGTTTCCCTTATAAGTTGTTCTCTTAACATGCTGCTCTAGAGCTGCTGTCTTTATGAAAATCATCTGCACATTGTTCTTCTTTACAAAGTTTCTTTTGTGTTTTGTCAGTGTCTGTACATGTGCTGGTTCTGTCATAGCAGAATAAACACCCTCTGTGTGTGTGTGCATATGTATATGTATATGCATGATATCTTCATGTATGTCATAAGGTGTTGAGGACAGCTTCAGTAGTACCTCTTGTTAGTTCTGGCAGCACAGCCCACACTATCCACGGAGTTGTCTTACCATGTTCAGCAAAACAGGAAACAGTGTCACATTCTGTCAGTGTGTGAAACATTGGCAGTACACTATTTGTCTTCTCTATACCAGGCCAGTTACAATCTTATGAGCAACCCAGTACTAAAACTTCTTGCCAGTTCCAAGTGCTAGCCAGAGTTCATCTTCTGACTGCATTTCCTTGGTCACTAACACAGCCTGCATAATGACATCATTGTTAACACTCTGAATCAGTAACTTATAGTGACCATGTATGGCAGCATGGAATCCATGCAGCAAGGTGTGACTGTCAGCTTATTAATGGTACATGAGGTGAGCAAGGCCAGATCTGGCAGTTGTGGCGTACTGTGGACTGTCTCTTCATCAGTAGTGGTGAGCCACTTGTCATTGTTAAACTGCTTGAGAAGTGCTTTTCAACAGCTCTATCTTGATTTTTTCCTCTCAAAATCCTGCCAATTGCTTAAAATGGCAGTTACTTTCAATACACACATGTACTCCTTTATCATGTTTTGATTTTCCACTGTTTTTCAG